ATAACGTATTGAAGAAGTTTATCTTTTTGACTACAGCTTCAGTATTCTTTTTGCGTGTTTCGGCCGTATGCATGTGATACGTCTGTTCGATGAGAGCTGCGATCAACTACGAAGTAACAGTCAAGAGAAGAGCATCATCCATCTCGCATCACCTAGCGTTGAGTCATTCATTGATGGAGCTTCTACTCGAAGATCAGTCTCGCCCCAGATCCATGGATGTACAGATGTCCAGATGTGAGGTAAGGTTTGGATTAGCGAAGAAGCCATCTACTCGTATATCTGAAGGGAACTGGTCGAATACTTTACATCTTCCAATTGTACCATTTACTAACATTCTCTGCCACCGAAGCTAAGAAAATTCCCCATCAATATAATCGCTCTAAATCTCGAGGGTTATTTGAAGTGAAGGGTGCCAGAGCCTAAGAGAACCGAAGCAGAATTTCTTGTCGAGGCAAGTGAGGTTCGATGTGCTGATATCACGTGCAAGTATGGGGCCGGTATTTAGCCGTGCTCCGACAGCTTGGTATAAAGCCTGAAACGAGATGAGATAGCAATAATATCTGAACGTGAGAAAGCATACTACACACTCTCCTTCCCCCCCCCCCCCCCGGGCCTTCGCAAATACATATATCTCGATTTTTTGGCCAGAAATCTAGCCAATCAAAATTGTTCCAATTGCTATTTGTTAGAGTGCTTAAGTTTGAGAGTTATGTCACATGATTTTGGGATTTAGCTAGATTGAAAATCGAATTGTTGTGGACCGTGCCCCAAAACCCCTTCACGTCTACTTGCAGTACTTCGTACCAAAGGGAGACCCTTCCTTTCTCTCGGAAAATGTTTCTGAAATACATATAATCATATGATACTGGTGAGATGTTGTCTCCTGATTTTAACTCATGCATGTTATCCAGAGGTACGTAGATTCAAGCTTTCAATTCAATCATATCGAGGAGTTTCTTGGCCATATTTTGACATCTACGTTGCTTGAGATCTTTTTTATTTCAAGATATTCATCTGAACAATAAGTGACGGGCTCTTTAACATCAAGGTTCCCACAAAATTCTACTATACAGTTGTCACAATACCACCACGTAAAGGGCGGGAAAATGGTAAACGGTCATGTGATGGATGGCCTACTGCATGTGAAGGTTCACAACTAGTTGATTGTGTTAGATCATATCTTTTCCTATCTTATTTGAACTACGTAGCTATAATGTTTTCTATTCTGTGCTTCTCTGATGAGTAGAGCAATATCGAGCTGGCTTACTATCCACAATAACAATCGAGAGGGAGGGTACTGATTGATGTTATGCTCGAATATACCTTTTTTGAAGCGGATTCACTTCGTCACACGCAACACTGTCGAGGGCGCTCGGTATGCTAAATGTTACAGGAAGATTATGTGAGTTAGTTAGAATCGAAAGATTATCTCTCTCAGAAAGGGTTAGTGATGAAAGAGGCTTTGAAGTAGGGAAGTGTCACATCTTAGCAGCGAGCAAGAAACGAACGCGCCCAATACCTTAAGTAATCCATCTCTTCTTCCATTGCTAGATGATAGGAGATAGGTTGTCCACGATTGATATCCCACAAATTGGACAGAATAGCAAACAACCGGTGAATAGTTTGGTAGCACTTTGCCGTTGTACAGCTCACGAAACAAACTTCCCAGTCAACCTTTGTTTGTGGAAACTGGAAACTGCAATGTGCCTAAGGATGTTTCAAATCCCAGGAATATATGCTTCCATTCCCTTCTGAGTCTTTGCTTTTCTTGAACGAATATAGTTTACGATTCAAAACGTTGCAGCAAGTACACATTTGGCAATTTAGCCAAAAGCAACATAGAATCTGGCTGTGTCACTGGCAACTCCAGCTAAAACCTCATTATGTCGAACAGCCTGATTCTCTCCATCTCAGTGCCCCTCCTCACACCTTTCGTCTTCTGGGCTTGCGGCTATTCTTACATCCAATTCAACTGTCTTCCCGCCAACTCACCCACAAATTTCTTCCGAACCATACAACCTTTGATTCCATGGGTCTGGGTCTTTTTTGTGATTGGATTTCTGGGATGGATGGAATATCTGTGTATTCTGGTACTTTGGTTTGCTTTGATAGCATTTTGGAGTTGCGTTTTTGTACAGACGATAATAAATGCTTGGAAACGACAGAAGAGAGATAATGAGGAAGGTGATAGTGGATTGTTTGAGGTGGGAGTAGAAAAAAAACATCAAGGTTGATGGAGCGGAGAAGAAGGCGGAGAGGATTGTCAAGGAGAGGATTTGAAGTGCGGCTGGATACTAATATGGACATGGGAGAATGTCGTCCAAAGAAATGAGAATCAAGCCGGGAGAATGAAACGGGGGAGTGAAGATACTGAATGAGACGAGGGGGCCGATATTCTTGGTGTCTTCTAAGCCAAGTTGGATCAAAGGACTTCAAATCCCCATACATCGTTCAAGCATTCAAGTATTGGTGATTGTGATGATCTGGTAAATGCCCGTTGCATTCCGCTAATGAAAGGATTAATATACAATATATGCATGTTATCCAACTCTGAATTGCCGATATAACGATGGAATTTCAATGTCTTCTTTGAGAGATGCAAAATGTCGATACTATACGCGACGAGTACTCATTTTCTATCATGCCCGTTGGCAAATTGGTCTTCATTCTAAATCCATGCCAAGGACGATGATCAAATGCTATTTTCATTTTCAGATGTCTCACTGACCCCCACACTTTTGTGCATTCGCGAGAAGCTTGTTTTCAATTTTGTGTAGCATAAAGATGTAAGCCGTCAGCACAGCATAATAAGCGCCAACAACGTCGTAATATATGCACATTATCAATCTCAATGATACTAAAGGCGTCACGACGACACCATCTTTTTTCTCAAAGCTCGGTCTTGTCCGTACAGTTGCAGCAAGGTGTATCGTTTGGTACGTATCCGTCGTTCTCGCAGATTATCATTCACTCAGCGATCAAAGTTATGGATGGAAGCCGTTTCTACCATCAAAAGGTAGAGTGCAGATTAATTTAAAGAAGCAGCATATCGGAGTACTAGAAGACCAATTGCTAAAGCACATGGTGAAAGAATTCTATGTCTACCCAAATCCGCTACTCGCGCACCTCACGTGCATCAGAGGACCTCTCATACCCTGCTAAATCCACACCACAAAGGTTTAAGCACACTTCTTATCCTTAGATTGCAAGAGGCACGAGATAACAGCAGGAAGTTTGTTTGGGCAAGCTTCTGGGTGCCATGTCCTGAATCGCCATGCTCATAGCTGTCAGCCGCGCAACAGCACAGGACCGCTAGATATTTTGCAAACGATACATGTCTTGCATATCCCGTGGAGGTGATCATATCAACAAATCAACATGAAAGCCAAATGAAGGAACGTCATTTCTAGGAGCGATGTCTCAAAATAGAGAACAATGAGCCAGGAGTTAAAATAAATTCCAATTCTTGATCTTAAGATGGGATCAGCAGCACGACAACGAATTGATACGAATTGATGCGAACTTTTGGCTTTATGGAGGAAGAAGAAACAAGCATTTGGAAAAAGACATTGAAACAGACGAATGAATGGTATGACGGATCAAGGATAATTCTATGGTGGGGGATTCCCGATACCCACCACCAAGAGTGGTGCCAAGTGGATTCAAGCTTTTGGTTTGGCTTCTCCTGATAAGGAAGCTCGAAAGGTCATGAAGCTTTATCCCATGTGCAACTCCACTAAATTCGCACGATAGATAGGCTTCGCCATGTCCGTATCTCGAATTCATGCGAACAACCTATCGATTTTATACTGTCGGTTTTATGATGGGAAATGCTACCTTGGTCAGCTTACTTGGTATTGGTGTGCTGTGTGTTATTTCCTGTGTCCTGTATGTTGTGTGTCCAAGTTCTATCGGCGCAATCACCACATCGTGGATTGAATGTTTCCCAATGTGTGATATCTCGTTGGTATTTCAGGTGCGACGCAGCTTATTTACAGTAGTTGGTAATCAATCAACGCTACTTCATGAAGCACTATAGCCAGCTATTATTGGTGTCAATGACGTCAAATATCTTCCTTACTTCTTTGGTTGATACCCTTGAAGAAACTGTCAACGCAAATCAATAAATTTTCAGCTTGATACTGTCCGTTTTAATGTTCCAGATGATGTTGTCGTGAGCCAATGTTTGGATAGCATGAGCTTGACAACGACGAACGGCACTACACAGCGGCACGGGTGGTTCCTACTCCATCTAATTCGACCTAGTGGGTGCTTATTTCTTGTTTTTTGTGGAGTGGTTAGCTTACGCGTAGTATCTCATGTTTATTGGCACAGCCTCTCTTTCTCTCAATTGTTACTTCTTCAGATCATGTACGACGAGGGGTTGTTGTCTCGAGTCGATCCACTTTGAAGGAAGTACCGAAAGATAAACCTTGTGTATCCTGGATAACATCATTCTCACTGCCCCCTCTCGCAGTGTGTCACTATCTTGACTGAGGGGCGAATTCGGTGTTTAGGGGATTTCGTCTCAACTCGTTCACGAGATACAGTATGTTGAAGATTCGGCCGAACTTAGACCTTCAATCATGTTCAAGTGTACATGCATAGCATCGAGGGAAAAAAAATTGACTTTTTGATTCTCAAATCATATGATCTTGGCAATTCCCAACAGCTGCGTGCTTGAAGGGGTATGCCTCACCAAATGATTCCTTATCAATACCCACTATGCGCCTTCCCCGGTCGTGCATAGCATGGAAGTTGCCCTGAAACTACGGAACTTAAATTTATGACGCCTTGGCTAGATCATCTGAAAGCTAGGTATCTTAGCGGGGGAAGGGAACTCTACAGGTGAGAAAGTTACGATGCTTAACAGCATTTAAAGGCAGCTTTTCCCTTCATCAACTTACTCTCTCCTCATACCATTCATCTTTAAATCACATCTACCTACTACAGAATTATTATTAACTAAACCCTCTATCCACCTTGATCAAATACTCAACATGGCTACTCTCCAAGGCTTGTCAAAGATTAGACTGGTTCCTAACAAGAACTACAAAAGATCCGGTACCAAATCCTATGTCTCTCTACTCAATAAATGGGGCTTTGAGCCCACAAAGCCTGGTCCATACTTTCAGATGAACAAGGCCACCGCAACTTCAGCTAGCTTCCATAAGTTTGGCCATAAAGCACAAACTCAACGTGTGTTGGCAAAGAAGACACCTACCGGAGAGAACGGCGAAGTCCCAGCCGAAGACCAACAAAATGATTCTGAGTATCTCTGCCCTGTACAGATTGGTACACCAGCACAAACTCTAATGCTCGACTTTGATACTGGATCGTCTGATTTATGGGTAAGTACACGAAAGTTTGATTCTCGTAGCAAAAGCTGACATGGCGGAATAGGTCTGGTCCACAGAACTTCCCAAAGCTACAACTTCCAAGGCAACCGGACACACAATCTTCGACCCAACAAAGTCTTCCACCTTCAAAGCTGCCAAGAGTTCCAAGTGGCAAATCTCATATGGTGATTCCTCTTCTGCTTCAGGTACCGTTGGAACAGATACTGTTTCTCTTGGCGGTCTGGCCATCAAAAACCAGGCAGTTGAGCTTGCAACCAAATTGTCTGCTCAGTTTGAACAGGGTGCCGGCGATGGATTGCTTGGTCTCGCATGGGGTAGCATCAACACCGTCACACCCAGACCAGTTGCTACACCCGTTGATAACATGATCAGCCAAGAAGATATCCCATCAGACGCTGAACTTTTCACTGTGAATCTCGGTAGCTGGCGCGATGCCGACGAAGCCGACAAAGGTGCCAGTTTCTACACATTTGGCTACATCGACCAAGATGTCGTTGGAAGCAAAGAAATCTACTATACCCCCGTGGACAACTCTCAAGGATTCTGGATGTTTGACTCCACATCTGCTACTGTCAACGGTAAGACTGTCGCGCAGACTGGTAACCAAGCTATTGCTGATACCGGAACTACTCTTGCATTGGTCTCTGATGAGACTTGCCAAGCCATCTACGATGCAATCCCAGGATCTACTTATGATTCGGAACAGCAAGGATACACATTCCCAAGCAACACCAGCGCTGATGATCTCCCCGTCGTTACTTTTGCAGTTGGCGGCAAGCAATTCGCAGTTCAAAAGGAAGATTTGGGATTTGCGGATGCGGGTAATGGTATGGTTTATGGTGGAATCCAATCCAGAGGTTCCATGACGTTTGACATTCTTGGCGATACTTTCCTCAAGGGAATCTATGCTGTAAGCTCCATCCCCCGCTCACTTCTGATTGTACCAAGCACTGACATTTTCTTTAGATCTTTGACCAAGGTAACACCCGATTTGGAGCCGTTCAAAGAACCGAAGCTACACAGAACACCAGCGCTCCACCAGCTTAAGTAATCTTTCAGGCATGGAGTATGGTTTTGGAACTTTTGCTTATTGGGAGGAATTGTCGGGCTATGGTTTGGTTGGGAATGCTTGGATCATAGGCGGCAGGGGCACATCTTGTCGTTGGATATATTGTTTCTTTGGGCTTTACTATAACTTCTGGTCAGAATTCATTATTCTTACCTCTTAATTTGTTCATGCAATATGCATTATGAACGTGATTTGGTGAATTCAATACGTCATGATATCGAATCCTCTGAGTTTCGGCAAGGTGTCACAAGTACGTTACCTCGAGTGGGATTGCTAGATCGAATTAGATGTAAAATCTGCCTCCTGGTTTGAATGGATACCTGAGCAACTGAGCAAATAAATGATTGAACAACAGAAGCAAACATCTGGAGAATAATTGAAGAGAGCATTTTAACTCATGAAGAGTACTTCATTCTGCCATCTACTTCGCCTTGCTTGCAGCATCCTCATCAGCAAGCAATCCTAGGATTTCCTGCTCGGAAAACCATGCTTTGACGCTATCAATAACCTTCTCAAGTTCATCACCACCCTCCATAACATCATCTAAGTTATGCACACTCAACCCACTCCTGTGATCCGTAACCCTCTGCTGTCCCCAATTATACGTCCTAATTTTATCGCCTCTTCCCATCTTCGCAACCCCAATCACACTTCTCCTCAGACTCATCAATTGTTCTTCTCTGGCTTCTCTTTTTGCGGCCGCTAATCTGGACCGTAGTACTTGCCATGCTTTCTGTCGATTTTGCAGCTGACTCCGTCCTTCTTGCATACTGACCACTGTATTAGTCGGTACATGCGTCAACCGCACAGCCGAATCAGTTGTGTTGACATGTTGACCGCCCGCTCCTCTCGCTCTCATAACATCTGTCCGTACATCCGCTGGATTGACATAATAATCACTATTCGGATCATTCAGATCTGCTTCCCAATATTCCTGTCCTTCCTGTCCCGTCGTGGGAAAACTAGGCAACACCATCACGCTCACTGCACTAGTATGTGTTCTACCCTGTTTTTCCGTTGCAGGAACTCGCTGAACTCGATGAACGCCCGCTTCGCCGCGCAAGGAATCGTACGATCCGGACGTTTCAATCTCGAGCACAACTTCGGAGATGGGCGCATCGGACCCAGCGCCTTCGCCGTCAGTGGTCTCGTATTTGATGATTGTAGAGCGGAATCGTTTGCGCGCGCAATATGCCCGGTACATGCGTAAGAGATCCGCAGCGAAGATCGCGGCTTCACCTCCTCCGGCTCCAGGTCTAATTTCAAGGAGACATGGTAGTTCGGCGAAAGGATGTTTGGGAGTCAGACTGGTTGTGAGATTGCGAGATAATTCTTCGAGATGGGCAGTCGTCGTAGTAATGTCTTCCGCCGCCAGTTCTCTCAATTCTTCATCGGTAGACGAATCTTTCAGTAGATCATTTAGCTCTGATAGCGATTCTTTCGTTTCTTCCCATTTTCTCAGCGCTATCGCTACATTTTGTAGTTCTCCAATTCGTTTCGCAATTTTCGCATCGAAGGTCTCGGAAGTTTCGTTACTCAATCGATCATGTTCCGCAGCCAAATTACGAGCTCGTGCAAGTAATGCCGGGGAAAAGGTATCGCCATTGTTTGCTGTTCTTCGTGTAAGAGGATGTGAATGGAAGGGTAGATTTGAAGACTAACGGACGGTGCTTGAGAATCGTGTGAATGGCAAAGATCGCCTTTTACCAGGCTTCAATGATAAATCTATACATCGTCGACATATCCAAGGAGCTCTAAACATTCTCGTTGGAATGGGTTTCTTGATAATTTATTAATTTCGATTTCATGTAACTTATTAATCTCATCCATCAACATTTTTGGAGCACGGACTATACTCGGGAAAACTAGCTTCAAGCGGCCGCTTCCATAGTGACGTGAGCGAGCAACTTCCCCGCTATCTGGATCTCGACTTTATCCATTGATATGAATTCCAGATCAACTATCGTACAGATGATACTATGAATTTGAAATATACAAAACAGAAATTCTGCTTCCATTCACTTCAAATAAATAAATAGCAACGTAGGTCTCATATAGAACTGGGACGGGAAAGAAAATTGGACTATAAAAACTATCTGAAAGTGCCTCGTACTCATATCCGGATATCTATCTCGCCTACATACCCAGGAGCCTAGGTAGTAGGTAGACTCCGCTGGTTCCTTTGACCCCACGTTCACATTTTATACCGTAATTGAATTGCCGAAAGCGGGACTAATCTTTCTCTTTCGCCATTCAGATCCTGGATAAGTGAAGTGTGAATGAAATCTTTTGGGAGATTGTTTCTATAACTTTTCTCTTCTGTACATCTGTCTAATATATAAGACTTTCGCGGTGGTAGTGATACTTACTTGAACATACATTTCCTTATCAACAGTAGTAGCCGAGGATTTAGAAAGCATCTTCTTCAGCTGCCCACTCTAGAGATCTGTCTCGAAAATGCCTGTCAATCTAAACTCAGTCTTTCCGGCCTCCGACCCGGAGTTTGTTACATTTCCTAGCAGAAGAAGTGTTGTTCATAGCACTGATGGTTTGATCGCTTGTACCCAGCCTTTAGCTGCTAGATGTGGTCTCCGGGTTTTAGAGGCAGGTGGAAATGCAGCTGTAAGTTGTCCTTTTTCTAACAATATGCAAGCTAACTCGTCTTAGGATGCAGCGGTTGCAGTTGGTATGTTAAACCGCTTCAATATAGTATCATCTAATCTAACAAAACTCCAGCTGCCGGTCTCAACCTGACAGAGCCAACCTCCACCGGTATCGGTGGTGATATGTTCTGTCTTTTTTATGATGCCAAGACAAAGGAGGTTAGTTCTTTAAATGGCTCAGGTCGTGCAGGCAACAAATGCTCTCTTGAAAAAATCCGACAGGATCTCGGGTTAAAGGATGATGACCCTGCAAGAATTCCACTCAAAAGTCCACATGCTGTTACTGTATCAGGTGCAGCTGCAGGTTGGGTTGATACCGTGGAGAGATTTGGTAGTGGAAATCTTACTTTGGAGCAAATCTTGGCTCCGGCTATTGAGATGGGTGAAAAGGGGTTCCCCGTCTCCGAATTAGCTTCAACTATGGTATTGCGCCCTAAATCTCCCCAATATTGCCAAGTCTAATGCAATCAATAGTGGAGAAATAGTGAAGGTCTACTTCAAAGGGCATCCCCTAACTTTTCCGAAATGCTAAAAGAGGACTCAAGTGCTCCAAATGGTTGGCGGGCACCAAGACCAGGAGAGATATTCAAAAACCCAAATCTTGCTAAGACTTTCAGAGCACTCGCAACTGAAGGCAAGAAAGGCTTTTATACCGGAAGGATTGCCGAAGAAATCATCAGAGTCACTCGGAATTTAGGGGGGTTCCTTGAACTAGACGATTTGAAAAATCATATGGACATTGGTAGTGAGAAATCCACACCCATCTCCAAAGTTTTCAAAGGGCAAGGATACGACAAAACCCATCATTACGTCGACGGAATATCCGGCCAAGGCATCAACGAGGACAATCACGGCGTCAAAATCTGGGAACACCCACCCAACGGCCAAGGACTCGTAGCACTCATGACCCTTGGTATCCTCGAAGAACTCGAAAACACGGGCAAAATCCCGCATTTCCAGGAGAAAGATCATAATTCTGCCGAATACCTTCATGCTGTTATTGAATCTTTGCGTATCGCTTTCGCAGATGCCAGTTGGTTTATCGCCGACCCAGCTTTCACCAAAGTCCCTGTAGAAGAACTGATCTCACAACCTTATCTCGCCGAACGCGCTAAACTATTTGATCCTCAGCGTTCCAATCCCGAGATATATGATCATGGTTCACCAGCTCATAATCATAGTGACACTGTATACTTCGCCGTAACCGACAAATGGGGCAATGGAATTTCTTTCATAAACTCTAACTTCGAGGGTTTCGGCAGCGGTATCATTCCCAAAGGCTGTGGGTTTGTTCTTCAAAACAGAGGTGGCAATTTCTCACTTGTGAAGGGCCATGCCAATGCCATTGCGCCTGGAAAGAGACCTTATCATACCATCATTCCAGCTATGGTCACCAATGTCCACGATGATTCGCTACATAGTGTGTACGGCGTCATGGGTGGTTTTATGCAACCACAAGGACATGTTCAAGTACTACTTAATATGTTAGCGTTCAAACTAAATCCTCAAGCAGCACTTGATGCGCCGAGGTTTTGCATCAGTGCAGATGGAGTTCCGGGAGAATCAAATAAAGAGAGAAGAGTGTTTTTGGAAGAAGGAATCAGCCAAGATGCATTTGAAAAATTGAAGGGCATGGGTCATCAGGTAAAAATGGTGGAAGGGTACCAAAGGGGTGTCTTTGGTAGAGGGCAGTTGATAAGGGTACATGGAGAGGAGGATGGAGTTTTGGTTTTCAGCGGAGGTAGTGATCCTAGGGGGGACGGGGCCGTTTATCCTGGGTAGAGAGATGATCAATAAAGAGGAATTATGTCCGATAGAAATTCATATAAGATAGGTAGGTAGGAATAACCCGTGTGTTATTCACTCAAGCGTCCCCTTTCTCTTTTAAAAGGGTTTAAATCCAAGGACTGGATGAGCAGATCCACTCTCTAAGATTCACTTCTTCAAAATTTGTCTGGTTTCTATAAAAAGCCTCCAACTTCCATCTTTCATGCCAAAATTTCTGATCCCAAATAATATCGACACCCGAAAAATCATAACACTGCTTATTATTCCAACAAATTTCCAAGTACACGTAAGTTAGGAGACAGCCTTCACATTACTCTCCTACATATAGCTGTGTTTTAATACTAATCTTTCTATCTAGGACAATGAGCGATTCCCCAGAACTCACGGAGGCTGATGATATCGACGATTCCTTGATCGAAGATTTAAATCCCGAATACCACTTCCCTATCCTTCGACACAATTTTCATTGGATTACCACGTTCTATAAATACCGTCAATTTGCCAGCGACACCTGTGCAAACAACCAAGCAAGGTTCATTGTAAAACGCGCTCCAGTCGAGAGGCGTTGGTTTTGGTTGGTGGAAGAAAGATTGAAGACATGAGATAAGGCGCCAGAATCATTAGATAAGAGGAAAGCGCTCTTGATGCTTGCGTTTGAACAAGTAACCAGCTCTGAGTATTCGTTCTTCTGCATATTGATTCTAACACTTTTAGTGCAAAAGTCGTCGTGCAGAAATCTTTTGCCGTGAACGGGCGAGAATTGCTGGCGATGATAGTGTCGCAGAAAGTGTAGGACATACCTATGTTCCCTTCTCATGAACTCGTAGCTAACGATAGGTTCTTCAGTGCATTGATGCCGATATGACTATTTCGAAATGTGTAGATGACTACGGCATTACTTAGGATGATTTTGTTACTGCAAATGGTTCGACTTTAGCTGTCGTCCCGAACCAGCCTGCCGCAGACCATATCTCTGCCGAGAGACAGGCTGCCAATGAGGCCGAGCAAGCTCGTTTGTTTGGCGAAAGCCGTGAGCGAACTGGTCTTGGTGGGATCAGCGGTGGTGTTAGCGCTGATGAATCTGGTGAAGATGTTGACGCGGATGGAGATGTTGCGATGGGATAGATTTTAGCGGACAGTGGTGAAAAGTCGCATATAATAGTATCAAACAGTGCTTTAGCACCACTCCAGTTAAACATAAATTCCTACTGCGTTGATGTTTCGATAATCAGTTCTATCGATACTTTGAATGGTTTGAAATGGTTTGAAATCTTTGAAATATTTAGAATCTTAATCTATAATGTTGAGATCAATCCTATTATAGAATCTAAACAATAAAAGAATAAAACAGATATGACTTTTAAGGAGTTATTAAAGAGTAATTTGCCGTATAATAAACTGTTGAACGTAATGACGTATTCTTCGATGAATGAATAGGGATATCATAAAATAATACTAATCGCACACAGATACCAGTGTATTCAGTCAGTATCGTACACTTCGGCTCCAACTTCTATTTCTTCAACAGTCGGTTAAATATCGAAATTCGACGATGGTTAGGCATAGAGCTTTGGTCATATGAAAGTACTGGATGGGGTGATAGTTATTAAATCTTGTATGAATAGTTCATGTGAAAGATATATAATGGGTTACGAATAGTTAGAAACAATTTGGTGGAGATACAAAATATGTTGGGATGATTTCAAGGAAACGCATTTTTGCAATGTAAAGACTAAGTCAAGTGTCATTGTCACACAGAGAGCACATCTTTGACACTATATATACTCGATTAGAGCACAAAAGGGGTAGTAGATTTTGATAGAGGAACAATGAAGTACTTGGTTCTGTATCATGCATCCATGTTTGCAATATTAAACTTCTCAATAATTTTTTGAGCTTTACTGGTCAATATCATGGTTGCGTAGCAACTCATAATCATGTTATAGGTACAAAGTAACACCCTATGCGTGGGTGGCACAAGGAGTTAAGCCTTTCTATATCTATCCTGATAACCTGTTTTCATGATTCACCTTCTTTCCTCTAATCTTCCCTCGCCCGTCCCTGTAATGCCATCCTCTTCAGTATCATCTGACTCTCCCACGACCTCGCCTCCGTCATTTTCCCACTCCCAATTTCTCCTACTCATAATCCATCCAGCACTCCAGACAGCCACCACTGCTAAACCACATATGAAACTCAGTCCAAAGAATGGTAGCCCCACCCAAATGCCTTTCAATCTCAATCCTTCAATGTAAAGTTGCGCAAAGCCCGGTCCCGCGATTAGTCTTCCAGTTGTCTCGACCACTGCCACTGCCGCATACAGCTGTCCCTTGTGTTGTCTATCAACTAGCGTCGTTATCAGAGAGCGCATCATGGAGATGAACCCTGCCCCCAAGGTAAAGACTGCCATCCCCAGGATAGCCAATGGAAGAGTTGGGGCTAGGGCAGTCAAGAGTGAACCAAGTGTGAGAATAAGAATGGAGGCGCGAGCTAGGTGAAGGTCTTTCTTTGAGGAGGGTATTTTGAAACAGGTGACCATGATTTTTGATAGAAAGGGGAGAATGAGGAGAAACAAGATGATTTGCACAGCAGCGCGGAGGGACCAGAGGAAGGAGCTTAAACGAAGGGGAAGGTGGAAGCGGTTGCTTATGTAGCGAAGCGATATATCTTCAGACTGACTGCTAAGAGGCTTAATGATGAAAGTGATAAGGAGAAGGACTAGAGGCGCAGAGTTGAGAATCGAGAGAGATGATCGGAATGTTCGGAGCGTATGTGAGAAATTGTACCCCACCGCGGCGAAGAGAGAGTTTTGTGATTTGCTATTATGAGGGAAGTCGTTGGTTGAGGTAGCAAGAGCCACATGCGATGTGTTAGTCCTCCGATCTTGCATGTGTAGAGTTTCCGGAATGAACAATATGAGAAGACTCCCGAGAGTTAAGAAAGATATCCCTAGTAAAATTGGGATCCATGGAGACTTAGCCATCAATACAGCAGCTAGAGACGGAGCAATCAATTGTGCGACAAGATCCGTAGCAGCCGCCAGGAAAAAGATATTAGTCCTTGATTTGTTAGTAGAAGCTAAGATAATTCTATTTGGGAGACGAATATAAAAATACCTTTTGGCTTCTGAAGTGATATCACTAACGATAGCAAAAAATGCCATACTTCCTACACTCGGTCCTCCCCCTATTACTGTGAAGATGGGACCAAGCCAAGTGAGGCGAAGGGGCAGTGCATGCCAGAACCACATTACCACGATGTTCCACAGATAGCTGAGAATAGTGCCTGTTATTGCTAAAATAAAGATTGGCTTCCTTCCGATTCTGTAGTCTGTCAGTATGGTATTTGTTTAGGAGAGATTGCCTCGAGTGATCATCCCGGGGATTCCTCATCTTTGGGCTTTTGCTGAGAAAGATAAAATTAATATATACCTATCCATAAGCATACCATACGGTATTGTTAGAAAAAGACCTATGTCGATCAGCTTCCTTTCAGTCATTATGTTTCTATATCGCTTGCTTACCTGGAACAGCCCCAAGAAAGTATGTTCCGGCGACTATTATACTCAACTCATTCTGAATATCGTCTTTCTTACACATGCTCTCATCGATATCCCCTCCCAGAATGATATGACCCTCTCCCTGTAAGCGATCATAGTAATGGTGACAAATTATATCTTCATAGACTCTCAACACGGGTACAGCCATCAAGTATCCCCCAAACTCAAACCATAATAAAGTCGCAAGTACGATCGCCGTTATTGAGGATGGTGATCGTGCCTGGGAGAAGATCGCTCGAAACAGTCTCGAAAACGAAGAGAAGACGGATCGCTGTGGCGGTGGGGACAGCAGAGGTGTCTCCTCACTGGGAAGTGAATCTTGAACTGACATCGTGAGTTCACTTGAGAGTGATGTAGTTTGCTGTTTCTCTTAACACTAGGTGAAGAATTCGAGGAGAAAGAAAGAATGAAAGAGAGCAGATGGAATTTTCAACCTCAAGCGTGGCCAACCAACTTTGACGACCACGGAATATTGCAACAATTTGATGCACAGGTATATCGGATTAAAAGAACGTGATGCCCCATAGCGTTTATTTGTTCATACGAATGGTTAGAGTGTTGTCGCGCTTATCGTTGATCAACCAGCTTTGATTGGTTTCTCGGGAACATTGATGAGGTTCTATTCCTTGTACCTATCAGTAAACTCCAGGTTTGGTCGCGCACCTACCTAATTCGGCTACTTGAAATTCGTCTCACCTGTCATCTTACGCGATCGTCCAATGACAACTCTAATCAGGGCAGAAATATTGGAGATGATGATAAGAGTCATATTCCGTATTCTGAAGAGGAATGGTTGAGCTCCGGATAAGAAGCCGAACTCCAAGATAGTACGGAGTACCTTCAATACTCCGTACTCGAGTAGAAATCTGACAACAAATCAATAGATCATCCATTGCTTCATTGATAATTCTTTAAATGATTATTTACAGTTCTCAATGCCATCATATGTTGTCATAATTTTTCTAGAAAAATAGATGTCCATCATTGAATTCTGCAAATATTTTATATAACCCCTTTTCATTTCTAGCAGACTTGGCATTGAGCCTGTCCTCAGTTGACAGGTTATCAATAGTCTTCGGCGTGATTAGAAGGAAAGATCATGAATCACTCAACTGTTTGTGATAATAGTTTCGGCCCAATTATCCATGGTTGCCGTTAAAACTTTGATTTTACCCTATTGCTTGAACAAAGTTGTTTCCTTTCCATACTGCCTTCTGTTCTCTTCATTTGAATATCGTCGCAGATATATTTCCTACGAACATAGCCAAGAAGATAGTAGATACAGTCACTCAAATCTATAAATTGACGAGAATAATTGTTCGCATTGCGAAAGGACACCGAAAGCTTACAACTTGTATTCTTGAGTTATTCTATGCATTATGTCCTCATATCATTTCATTGTTTTGACCTTGGGCAATCTCCCCATTTTTTTTAGAAATAGTATGCCCACTAGGCCATGGACATCCACAGTCATCTGGTATCATCTGAGCTGTCGACCATTGACCATGATACCTAGCAGCTTCCTTTTGATTCTTCGACGAATTCCCTCTCGCTTGGCGTAGCTGGTGGCCTAAAGCAAACACTAAAGACAGAGTGTATTCATCGGTGTACTGCGGCTACGTTTCTCACACAGCATGAACTGAATACCATGGCCAAGAAACCGGGTAAGAATCTACATCTCCGTTTTATTCGAACCTCATCGTACCATTTCCCTCTATAACTCACATAACGATGAATAGCGGTGAAAGCTCTCTACCCCTCACACTATTCTGCAAACTTGATCTATTCCGTGGCAGCAGCTCCGCCCACGACACCAATATTCCTCCCTTTACCCGCGAGACCCTACGCTCGTGTCTGAACGCCATCCCTCAAAATTTGTTTTTCCTACAAGGGAGATATGAATTTCGAGAGAACCTCGATCTGTACAAGATATCTAATGATACAGTTTTGATGCATGACTTAAGAATGGTATTTCTAGAATCCATCATGCCGACCCATGGAAGTCTTGATAGCAAAATAGACACCGACATATTGAAACACGAACGCCAACTTTTCTGCATTACGCGCGAGCGATTATAAGACTGACGAGAATCCTAATCATGGATGAGGCTACTAGCAAGTAAGTTCCAACTAATCCTTTTGTGTTTTTCTGTTATTGCAACGAACACACGGTGTGGAGTATGGATCAGTAAATTGATGCATTGATGCAACCCATCATTCGAAACGTATTTGAAGACTGCACAGTCATGGCCGCGGCACACCATGTGGCATTATCTAAGCAGATAGAATTGATGAAGTGTAATAGTCCAACAAATATAATTGGTCGACCTTCCTTATCAAAAGGATTATTAGAGGATCAGCAGCGACATTCTTGATCACCTTCGAAGGTCAGGTGAATCGGAAAGAAAGGATTTTGCTATCGTTTCACATTTTCAACGTATGTTTTCGCTGATGCAATTGTCGATGCAATAGGATTCCATTTCAACTACATGTGAAGTTAGGATTTCCTTGTCAACGCACCTTTTGTGTGTATGGGGCTAGGGAGACAGATACGCTGTACATATGAAATTGAGGAGGTCGCGCATATCTCACCGTATGAAACCTCCACTTCTTTCTTTCTTTTTGTCTCTCTGCCACTAAACAGGAAGGTGTAGTTTTTCAATCTGAAAAGAAGTGAAGGAAAGTATTCTTTGTACAAAATGAACGTCCAGAATGTAGATCATTCCGTCATCATCAAACGAGAGATCCCCGCGAAACGCTTGGCCTTTGGGAATAGAGAGGCATCCTCACATCCGATTACACACAAAAAGTGAATGTTTGAATCTAGTGATTCCTCAAAGCTTCCAAAGGAATTGAAGAAGAGGGATATACAAGCTTGATGATTTGGTCAAACAGGCGAAGTAATTAAATCAGTGTTATCATTCAATTTGCCGAGGGAGAAGGAAGAGGTTTCACAAAGATAATTTAAGGTAATATAGCTAGCTTATTTGAATTATAAAACGAGAGTTCTGCAAGCAAGAAAGTACTCTTGTGCTCTGTGGAGAAAAGAAGTGTATGTACATATTAATGCATGTCCTACCAAGGTATTGCATTTTGTGTGCCCTTCAGCTGTTAACCGTTTACCATTTCAAAAGCATATTCTATATATGCATTTGTTCTGTAAGGTTTGCCTTTATCCATCCGTCCATCCATCCAGCCATGCATCATTGAAAACCATAAAGAAAATGATATTCTTTTCTGAGGATTCGACCCATTACTCATCAGAATTATCACATACGTCATCATCGTCTGAAGGGTCGGTGGTATTGTCAGGGAGTCAACTGTAAAACCAGTATTGAGCGGCATACTGGACACTCTGCACACCTGCTGTTGTGCAAGGGTTGATGGAATTACCACCGGCAGTTTCGACGCGGTAGACTGTTGTGAGACCAATGGATACGTATGTGGATTTGGCAGTTAAGGATAACCAATCAACGGCGCCGGTATTGGCAGGTCCTGGGATGGAATTGATGGGAGGAGATATGTCACCAGTCTTGGCAGCGTACAAGATCTTGCTGACAGATGAGAGGTCAAATGTTGGAGTTCCACTAGCATCGAAGAAGTGCTTGCCCAGAGGCTTGAGACTCATGAAGCTAGCGCTACTAATAGCTGGAAGATTGGTATAGACAGCGATACCTGGGAGATTATTGAATGCGGTACTGGCACACTTGGCGTATTCGGTTGCATCGTAAAGGTTAGCGACTGCACCAAGAGCCACTGGAGTAGCACCAACGGCGGAGCAGGTATAATTTTGGATACCACGACCGAGAGCAACATAGGCGAGGGTGCCAGTTGGCAATGGGAGAGCAGATGCAGCTGCAAATGAAGATTGTTAGCTTGTATATTCTGAAATAGTGAACTTGAGAAAGTGGAAGCGCACCTCCAGTAGTAGGTAGTAATGGTGTTGCACAAGTATGTTTACTTGAAGTAAGGGCTTGAACAGTGCTGATTGGAACAGCTGCAACGGCCGAAGCCAAGAGGAGAACGAGACTGCTGATGGAGTGCATAATGTCGTTGGTGTGAAAGATTGTGTTATAGATTGAAGGTTGGATATTGATTCGATATTAAAGTAATGGTCGAAACCACTTTTGTTAAACTCGAGGTATAGATTGAGGTTATCGAGGGAGCTAATGGAGACGAAGTAGAGACCAAGTTGAAGGTGGGAAAGGTTCTATTTTATATGTGACCTCCAAATTTGAAGCTGTCGTAGATGTTTCGGAAGCACCAATTGAGTATTGTCAATTGGAATACGGGTATCAAGGTTGTATATAGGGGTATTAAGTGAATATCTTTGATATAGAGATCGAATGGAAGCTGTTGATCAATTGCCAAAGGTGAGGGAGAAAAAGATATCTTATAGAAATCGAGGTGAATTGACTCGATTGAGAATCAGATAAATCCGCATGGGAGCAATAAACAAGCCTTGGTGAATTAAGCTGGACCCTGAAGATACCATACTAGCTCAATGTGGAGGAGTAGCTAGTAGGTAGTACATGGTACCTAGTAACGTAGTTATCAAACAAGAGAAGAGAAAAACAATCATGAACCTTGTCGAGTGATACAATAGAAATAGATGTGGAGCTCTTTCATGCTGGCATCTGTGCATTTTTCCACTTTTTGGCTTGCAGACTTGCAGACAAGGGCTTTTCTCTGGCTTTCTTGGTATGTACGATACCTTGCATCTCTATCAGCCAAGACTCCAACCCTCGAGCCTCTATCTTACATCTTACTCCGTCCATAGTATGTCCTGCCTTCCACTCCCTTCCTGCACGCATACCCACGGGTGCAGAGAGCTTCAGACGATAGCTTGCAAGTGTATGGGCGTATGGGAATCGAGGTCGGTAGGTAGCAAATGACAAGGATTCTTTGTCGTTTGTGTTTGAAGTGAACGCACCTGGCATACTGGCAGACCGGTGTACTCGTATACTCGCTTCTCGGTACCGGCATGTCACTCAGTGAATGTTGAAGAAAAAGAAGAAGTCAAGAATAGAAATGGAATTGAAGCTAGCTGGGGACTGGAGAAGCTTGAATACAAAACTAATCCGAATCCGGTCTAGTGTTGCCGAATGGCGTACGTGCCCTCGAACCATCTCTTGCCTTGACCTTACCTCTCACGCCTCTCTCGCCTCCTACCAAGATGGATGCTGGTCACTTTCTTACAATCCTTGATGTCTTCATCTAAAACTTGTCATTTTAACCACACGATCTATTCTCCACCCTTCTACCTCAATATCTGAGTTGCACAAATTCGTTGTTCGTGCCGGGACCGTACCGTGTATCTTTTTTTAGTTGTCGATAGATGTCATTCTCCTCTTCTTCGTTGGTCTCGCCATCACGATAATATGCACGAGATGAGAAGTTCCATGTATCTCTTCACTTGTACCACGGTAAGATTGTACAAAAGGAAATAACCTCATTTATCGAATTGCTACACTGCGACACTGCGACACTGCTACGATGCCACACTACCCTACCTGACAAGGCAGGTATCATACGGCATCTAGGTACCTAGGATTCAAGAAACCTCTTCTTCTCGAAAACAATCTTCAATCCAACATCGGGATTCACAAATCTTGGCTATCGTCGTAAGCATGCATCTTCCATTTTCCCGCATCCTTATCAGACCTTATTTCACCGTTTCTTGGTGTAATCTTGTACCGCAATTGTTCATGAATAGAAATTCCCGAGCGGTTAATTCATTTAAACCTAAATGAGCTATTGTATTTCCTTCGATGCTTGAATTGTTGTACAGATACGGCACTCTTGGAGATAATCGCTAAGTTTGCTTGTTAGATGCTCACTGCTGACAATCTTGGTCGGGCTTGTAAAGTTGCAAGCATCTAGATTTTTTGCTGGGTAGCCCTGTGAACTTGAAAATTTTACCGGCATGGCATTGGTCAATACCGGGTTGACAAGAACCGTTTTCCCTGATGGCCTACATCTTCCTTGTGGCAGAACCTCTATGGATTAAGGATCTTCTGATTGATGCTCAGAAAGTGAGGGGAAACAGGGTCCAATAACTACGAATCAATCTATTTGGCACAGTAAGTTACTGCTAACTCAAGTCAAAAGTTACCTCGTGTTTGATCGCTAGATGAGACGAACGGGTGGAATTTGGAGAGGAAAGAGGGAAAGATAGAAGTTAGTACAGGGCTCAACGAACATCAAACTGTGATGGTTGTAGGATTCAGACGAAACAATTATCACAAACACCACAATCAGCCAAAAGAAACAAGAAACAAAGAGGACAAACTCCTTTTCATCCTCCAATTTAATTTTCTTGTTGTACATTTGCATTCCTCCTGAGCATTGACAATTTGCCATGTGTTAGAAACGTGGGAGTGTATTCATATTGTTTCGAGGAGTTGTTTGAATGCTTCGATTGTTTTGGCTGCGCACTTCCATATTCCGTCGAGTGTGCTGACTGCAGTTTGAACTCCTTCTCCGGAAAAATTATCTTTCGAGATCACCCATTATCTCGCCATTTCTTACTTTGAAAATAGGAGACGAGGCTAAAGATAATTATCATCTGAATCTGGGGAGTTCTTCACTTTGTTATCACAGTGGATCCATCAGACGACGAAGTTAGTTGATTCCCTGGAGCCTCGCAACAACTCTCTCTAATCTGATTGTGACATTTGGTAACCTTCAAATTGTGCTTTCTAGGTATCCTCGGTATCCTCGCAATTATTGAATTTCCTTGTTTACAAGTCCATTCCCTCAAATGCAGAAACGCCACCTTCAAACATCCCGCATCTATCTCTACTCTCGTGACAATCAGGAATTATCCAATACCCGAGCCATGCCCTACCATTCTTCTGATCAGTCTTATATGCGATATTTTGGACATCTGCAAATGACTTCAGAGTTGATATCTTATTCGGGTCTTTTACCAGCCACTTATTGTATCCTTACATTTTTACCTGGTAAGATCTCGTTCTCGCCTTGATAGCAATAAACAATCGCTAATTGATGCAAATTTTGTCCACTCGAATTGGTCAGTTGTCGTAATACAACCGAAATGCCAGCTAATTACTCTCGAAATAGAAAATTATATGCATCTCTGCCGAGTAACTTGCTATTTTCGGCACAATTTGCTCAAATGGCGGGGTTACATCTCAACCATCTTCATGTGACATTCAACATTCGAAGCGGTAGAAGTCTCCCCGTATATCATTAAACGACCTTGTAAAGTTCCGGTCTTTGTCCGTGTTGTCTTCCTGTCCACTCATTCTATGTGCCCCTTGTCGACCGATTAATACCGCCTGTCAATTCCAGATCTTTTTGCCGAGTGCCGGAACATCGGCTAGATGAAGAAGACTCAACCAGCCATTCGTCTATGTGGTCGCGACCTTGTTGATACAAGACTCGAAATTTCCACTTCTTGAAAACCTTCTAATTCATACAAAAATAGAACATCTATGTCCTTTGACCAGTCACAATCACCCAAGATATCTTGTCACATATCTACAAAATCAGACTCGCTCAATACGAAGCCATGGAGTCGTTGAAGATTTATCATCTTATGATTTAGCTTGGGAATCTTTACACAAAAAGATAATGAATGTACTGACACGAATGATAGGTTTGCACTGGGCCCGCATTGCTCATTCCTTTACCCGATATCTGCGATCTCAGATGTTCATGACACCATTTGATTGGCATACAGCGTACGAATGAGCCGCTGTTGGAAGTGGATTGCTTGATAAATATTTGTCGCTTATGAGAAAACTGTTGGATATAATTCAACTAGACGCGTATTTTTTCACTTCGTTGGGTCCTGTCAGATACCAGTCTTTCCGTATTTGTTCAAAGCGGTTCCCCGGCTACCCGGGCGCTTGATAGCTTGGGTCCACATAAATAACATACTTCACATGCAACTTAGTTTATAAGACCCGCAATCGGACTATTAATAACCCTCCCCTCATCATCCACCAAGATCTACCTAACTTGTCTTCAGAATCATAGGATGCAATGCTTCCCAAGCCATCAATGAATCATTCAAGCTTCTCATGTAACACTTCGTTGCATCTTAGAACCCATTTTGGAAGACAAATTCAAGTATTATGAGACTAAACTCAAGCGAATGGTGGTACATAATGCAGGTGCCATAGTATGCGTGCACCTCGTTGTTGTCATCGTGAAGAGATTGGCCGAATGAGCATGGTCGTCCACTACTCAAAGAGATTAGCATGTTCTTTGCTCGGCATGAAGGACTAGACTCGAAAGCTCGAGCGGTGTACATCGATCTATTGTCCTAAGAATTTACCCTGCTTTCCACTAGCACAAGATTAAATCTACTTTCGTCAGACAGTAGATGTTGATGTCTCTGCTTCCCTCTGAAGTCAGATCTCCGACTTCCTATTGGGGAACAGCAATTCTTAACATCCATGCACATTTAAATAAGAAGTTCAGACTATTTGAACGGGATCTTCTAGTTGAGGTGATTTATTTTGAGTATTAGAAGCAGATCATATGATGCCCTTCACGGTATTCTATTTTGGATTGACAATGTGCACCGTTTTCTGAAAATAGCTCTTCTCAATATCTTACCCCAGTTCAAAAGGCTCGAGATTCCATCACATATTACCTCTCTGAGATCAAACACAACTCTTCTATTTACCAGTCTACATTGAGAAATTCCCCTCCTCTATTGAACAACAACCTTTCGCCTTATTGCACCTTATTCGTGGATTTAGCAGAGTCTAGCATGCACCCATCTTACTATTAAATCGAATTCAAGCTCTTGAATATTCAATCCTAGGTCATACTTCAAAAAGTACTCGTCCAAGTAAGTCTACATGGATGAAAAAGCCCGAATAACGATTATGAGTGGATTATCGTCTGGTTTTGTTGTTTGGTTAAGATTTTACTTGTAACATGACATTGACCAATATGGCATGAGTTTGCACTCAATCTACCTTTGTTTGAGTCACAATATAACTCGAGTGATAGAGACATTTCCAGACTCTAGCGACCTCCTTCACTATGAGACTTCTATTGCTCGCATATACATCACTTACAAATCCATATATCACACCCTATCTATTCATTTTGTATATTCAAGAATGTCAAATGCGTTTCTATTATCAACATTACATTATTTTTCCCATTACCCAAGTATGCTCCCACTATTTGCATCACTGACAAAAGTCACTAAGTGTTTTATCATCTCCAAATGTATGCTCTCTCTATCTATATTTATATCCTTGTCATCAGTACACATTCAAACAAGCACCCATGAAGCTCAAGCGCGTGTAGCACCCTAAATGACTATAGGGCTGGTCGCAACATGCTATCAATAACTCATTGTAGTTATCATCGTGAACTATATTATCAACCACCTCATCTAACCCCATGCCATGCCATTTTACATCGTGTTTCTAAAATACCCTCTACCAATCACAACAGCATTATAGCTAGCACCAACTTGAATACTATACAAAATCCCCGAGAAACAGATTGATTATATTTAGTGCACTCGGGTATGCTCCTTCCTTCCCTAAGGTCATTCTTGCAAAGTGTTCTCCGTCTACTAGTAATTATACACATTACTTTTATTCTTAGCTCTTGTATTGCAGAAAAATATTAACTATTCATCAATGTTTCTCTGGATGGATTGCATGAGAAGAACCAGAAAACATAAAATTATGTTAGTACAATCCGATTCTGTGATTTAAAAACACCTTCGAGGGAAAGGAGGTTACAAGGGGCCTCAATTTTGTATCTACACACCCAGCCCCGAGCTGTCCTGCAATGGCTAAATATCGGCATTGTAACAGCACGTGACCTCATACACGAACCTCGACAAAAAAAATCTGCTTCGGTTCCCAGACTCTCACACTTCACTTCAAACAGAACTCGATATGTCAAATGATTTTTCTGAAATTTGGATAGCGTAAGTCTCAGAGACTACTAGGTGGCCCACATGTATGACGCACAGTGTACCGCTGCTTTCATCCTTGTAAACATGTGGATGCATGGCTTCATTCCTAATCAAAGCCTGCATATCTAAACATCTGTACTTCCATGTATCTGGGGTGAAACTAATCACCGGGTAGAAGATTCATAGAAAGATATCTCAAATACTGGGATCAGCCGGGTTGTAGTTGATCGCAGCTTTCTTTGAGGGTCGCACTGCTTAGATACGGCGGAAATACGTGGAGAGAAACTCGACGCTATGGTCGTAAGAACAGCTTATTTTTGTAATGCATTATGCTTGAATTGACAACATCACTTTGGCACTCCGAGCAATGTCAAGCGTCTGAGTAGTTGACCTTGCTGCGGATGGAAATATGTACGTTCGTATCCTGGAGGGTGAGGATATCAATCCCTTCAAGCGAAGCCAACTCCCTACGATGTCTTGCAGTCATATTGACGATCTGCGTCAATAAATTTGATATTCTTGTAGACTATTCCCAATGGTTTGATTCGCTTTACTTTATTTTTGTTGACTGGGGCAAATGATAGTACACCTTCTTTCATGAAGTACAACGAGGCCAACGTCTCGGGACTCCCCAATGAAATTTTTGTTGTTGTATTTCTTAAATCTGAGCCAGTGTCAGTTCAATTCTTTCTGGAAAAGACAATAGCGCTGCAGTGTCTCTGATGTTGTAGACGGTCTCTGTCGATAGGCTCGGTAGTTGCAGACTGGCTAAGGAAACCTTGAAGTGATTCCTCATCTATGTAGCCAATGCGAAGAAGAGGGTAATCGAGTGGCTTGGAAGAAAAGGCTTTATTGAGCTTTCAAGACACATAACATCATTACTATTAAACCTCGCTACCCATCTGCATAATCCTGTTGCTACCCCTATAGACATGAATTCTCAACTCACCAATCGCATGATTTCTGTATTTAATGCCAACGATGTTCTCTGAGCCTGGCGTCCCGCCTCTACTCTACTACTCCATACAAATATTCCCGTCGTCATCGCCAAACGCATCATTCCTGGAGTCGACATCATCCAACTGCACAAGGGACAGTTGTTTTGCTAACCTGCCCTGCTCTTCGGTCATCATCACTCCTGGATCGGTCACACCTAAGGGTGCAGCAGTTTCCAGTCTGTCAAGAGTCGATTCATCAGCCAGTTTCCCTTGTTTTTCGGTCGTTGATGCCTTCGAATTTGCCTTAATATTCGTCTCACTGGCCTCATCCACCATTTGTAATTTGGAAAGGGCACCATATGCTTCATTAGCTAAGTTTGCATATATTGCATCATTTACGCCTTACTATTCCAACAGTCTTTGAGCTGAGAGATAGGCATATTCTATTCGACCAAGCAAGATCTTCAGCAGCGTGCTATCGTTTTGTTAACTAGTTTGTACAAATGACTCTTCTTCTATGCCCTATCTTTTTGCAGTTCTTTGTCTTGGAAACCAGGCGTCGTATGTTCGCCCAGAACCGTTCGGCGTTATCCAATCTTGGCTTAAAGAGGACAGTATTGCATTAAGCCTCTCAAAGGTATCCGCGAGAGTTGGCTCACACCTGGCTCAGTTGTGTCTCAAGATACTTTTGCTTTCGCTCCTCTGACCAATCTTCTGGTGCTAGCCATACCGCAAAAGTGCTTTCACACAGCGCGCCAAGCCTCATCGACTTCTTTCCGTGTCACAAAGAACACTCTTTTGTTCAGTTGATTGCGCTTCGGCTTCTTGCAGAGAAGTTCAAATTCATTGCAGTCGCACACGTGAGTGGCGAATGCTAGATAGCCTACTTCGTTGATCAGTTTGTAAAAGTGTTTGGCCATGCGAGGGAATCTCAAGGCGCTCGCCATCGTCATTATGGACGCAGTGTGTCTTTCCCGGTCTATGTTAACAAGCTGATGTGCGATCTGGTCAACAGTAGTTATCTTCATGCCAACTGGCAAGCAAACATTAGATAAAGTTTCGTACCTCCATCTTCTTCCGCGAACTTGCTACAATTAGTGATTGATAGGGTTGGATGTGGGGTAGTAGTCTGATGGTATTATTCAAGATCGCAGTGTAGGTTGATATGCTTATGTGACGGCAAATAAGGGCGGTATACAATATGCCGCATAGTTCAAATCGGTCGGTCTCTACATACTCCGTTCTATTCACCATTCCACACAAAAGAAGATGGATATAATCTATTCTGATATCACTTTCTCGACCAACCATGCCAACATGGTTGTGCACTGGTGTAGTGGTTAAACACACCAAATAGAACAGAGGCATGGCGCGGCTTGTATCGCGCAAGGCTGATGCAAAGTCCTTTCGAGGATAATCTGTCATGTGTGGGGACTTTGGCTTTACAGTGGGTTTCGGGGCTTCTTTAAATATTCTATGTTGTAGATTTGACTTCTACCCGCTATTATGGTGGTATCTCAATCTTTGATCGAGAACAGAATTTTTTGCTCTTTTTGCCCTTCCACGAATTCACATCCAACAAACAATTTCTCCTTCAAAGGGTTTTAATCAACTTCACCATACTAAATTTAATCTATCTACAATCCATACTAAAGAAACAACAAAACTTTTCATTTCCGCCCCGGCCCTCCCGATCGCGTTCTTCTCGTTGAATGTAAGCTTTAGATAACGCCCCTTCTCAAACTTATTCAGATCGATCGCAGATATCATGTATCCATTGATCATATCCATAGATATGAGCCAGATGACAGATATAAGGAGTTCTTGACAGCTTAACTATTAGGACACTTGTATCGCTTTTGGTATCTTGAATTTCTAGCTCCATTTCATCCGATGAAATGACAGAATTGGTTTCCCTGGCCTTGGTCTTAACATTATTCACCGACAGCATCGGATCGGATTGACCATTTTCTTTAGGGCTATGTACTAGAATCGTGATTCTCGTGAAGAAGAAGTTTCAAGTACAGATGAGTGCTGAAGAAGACCTGCTAGTGGAAGGCGTTGATATTGTTGAGATTCAGCAGGACTGAAGCCTTTATACTTGGTTCTAGTAACAATATACAAGTGAAACATTTACTATAGATTAATAAGGTTGAGTCACTTTTGCCGGGAGATGACTGAAGTTAGTGGGTTCACTTGCAAATAATTGATCCATTGGCGCGTAGTTGCAGCAAAAGTTTGATGACGTCAACATCACTTTTTCTTCCAATTCGACAATCCTTTGATAATATCTATAACGACAGTTCTAATAACCTCTTTACCAGTAATCCAATTTATTTCCAACAACACCTTTGTCTGTGTCCCATTTACCATGAGAAAACACTCAATCCTTCATCTCCTCACTTCAACAATTCTCTCTAGCATCCCACATCTCTATCGCCCGTCTTCTTCTAGCTATCCGCCTTCCTGACTAGAATTCTCTCTCATCCCATATTTCCTCTTAATATCATTATTCCCACTAATCTTCCTCTTCTTCCCTCCATACCAACTCCCACTCACACACCTTTTCTTCCCTCCGATATAATTTGCACCACTAACCGTGCGTTTCTCCCTCCAACTTCCAACATCCCTACTGCCACTACCCTCACGATTTCTTTTGATCTTTTCCGACGTATTAGAAACCGATCTCTTTTGAAGATAAGCCTTACGGAACAAATCATCAGGATCAAGCCATTGCAAGCAAATTTGATGCATGGGTTTTGCTTTCGCCTCTCCCTTGCAAGGAGATCGAACCGACCAGTCCCAAAATCCAAGAAATTTATATGCGTTCTCCAGTGCTTGGCGACCTTTAGTCTCATCCGCAGCAAAGTCATCAAGACTTAGCGGTTCCACAGTGATGCTCTTGAGAATGAATGCTTCGTATTTCCACACCAATTTGATATTGAGTAGTTCTTCGGTTCTTTCAACTGGGTTAAAGCTCCAGAGCTGAAGAGCTGAAGAATCTCTATGGTTTTGGGTGAATGATGTGAAGTCATAGGTGTAAGGCCGTTCTCCTGATTCGAGCGGCAAGAGTTGATGTTTCAATTCCATCAGACGAAATATTTCTTGCTTTGCGATTTCGTTTTGAGCCTCAGAATTATCTCTTTTCCATTCATTATATCTCTCGCGGCCCCATCTTCCGAGTAGTAGGATCTCCGGATCTTTCATCGATTGTTCGTAAAGAGTTTCCATAGATGTACCGGCTTCTGACTCGATGGAAATATCTGTAGGAAGATCTGTAGAATCACTATTCGACTTGGACCTTATAGCCAGGCAAAAACTTCTTGGTGCTTCTGTGACTTCTGCAATTGTAGAGAAGATCTGGTTTTTCTCATCGATGATATTGGTTACATGGTTTGCGAAAACAGTAGGTTCTTCATCCAGACTTCCATCTTTGAGGAATCCCGCCAATGGTCTATCAATCTCAATAGATTCCTTGACTACTTCTGTGACTCTAGAAATAATCTGGCCTTTTTCAGCACTGATATTAGTTTGTGGTCCTGCAGCAACGCAAAGATCATCCTCGACAATTACATTCGTAGAATTTGCGGTTTCTTTTACCAATGAATCCGTTTCATCCGCCGCTTCTCTCGCTTCTCTCACCTCTGTAATAGTTGAAGTAACTTTACCCTTGTTGAGTATATTATCAATCACTGGTCCAGTAGCCATACGAAGACCTTCATATGCTTCATCCACAATCGCATTAATAGCATCTACTTCCGATGCCGTAACTCTCAGTAGCCGCGAGATATTTGTATCCGCATCCACTACTTGATTATCCGCCTTGACAAGTGTTAGAGGCACACTTTCACTTCCTCTATTTCCCGCATAATTCCTATCATCCCCTATCAAGACCAGGATGTTAGCATTTTTACCATTCCTCCCCGTCTCAAGCCGGGTTTTATCTCAAAGGAAAAACTCACAAAATAACCTATAAACGATACGTTCAGCAACATCCAGCTTCTCTTTCTCTCTTTCGTCGTACAGTTCTCTCGTCTCCACACCAAAAGCAGCAAGTATACTCTCATACGCCTGCAAGAATCTGACCAAGTCGATCTTGTCATCGATGGCTCGATATACCATTTCTTTTTTGCTGTATTTGCTGTCTTTGGATCTTGTTCTCTTCAGATCTGGAGCTAGCTTGGGGCTTGGGGAGAGAGGAGGTCTTTGCAGTGTAGCTGGAGAATAGAAGTTATGAGATAATGAGAGAGGAGAGATGGAACGTGGGATCTCGTGATTGTCGAAGGCGGTTGGGATTGGGGTGGCGAAGTTAGAATTGAGCCAGGAATCTTGGTGGATGGAGGAAGATGCCATGTTTGTGAGAGAAATCCTGAATGAATGAATCGATACAGATACAGATATAGATTGAGAATCTAGAATAACACTTCAACTTGAAGTGCGAATAGTTATCTAAGGATACCAAAATTACTGTATAAGCAATGCAGTGAGATTATTTGATGTACGAGTCTTATTTGAAGAGCGAAAAGATGCAAAAGGAGCTGAGTTTGGGTCATACATACTATGATGCATCTTTCCGCCAGATTTGTTGCGGTTAAGGAAGTTGCTACTGGCATCGAAGTCTAGCCCATACGGATGTAGTACGCCATGATCCGAAAATAATTTCATTTTGACAGAGGGGAATGTAAATGGAAGGAAGTAACTGATCACTTGAATGCAGTAGCAGAATGGGGAAGGAGCGACAAGGTTGTGATTTTCAACGGGGTGATGTTGCCAAGGAAAAAATGTACAGGTTATTTGATATCTATTTAGTAGGTACCTAGTAGTTATAAAAGGACCATCTCGTAGCTGCCGCATTCCATAAAAGGTTTAGAGTTGGGGAAGCAAGGCAAGGAAGAAGAGATTGAACAAAAAAGAAGTCAGTCAATTAGCTGGCACCCAAGTATCCGAATCACAATGAAGTCCACACTACCAACATACAACAATCAACAAAAAACTCTCCTTTTAGACTTCACAACACAATCAAGAATTCCTATCAACAATAGCGTTCTTCATTCCAGTCGACTATTAAGATCTATCTAATCCTAACCCTTCAATCCACAGATACAAAGACGCACTAGTTACATGATTACCCAACATCCATCTTTCACACCCACGTCCCAAATTTTAAATAGAAAAAAAGAACATACAATAGAAGTAAAGTAACAAAAGAAGAAAATAAAACTAAATGCCCAAACAGATATCAATACCGATAGATGTGAAAGAGAATAAAATTATGCAAAGAGAAGAATTGATTGTACACCCCGACTACACCGACCCTTTATCCACTCACTCACTCACTTCCAAACATCTCTTTTTATGAATCAATGGGTATAAACTTCCCCGACACATAGAATCAGAAGCATCAACTTCGTCCCCAACCCCCATCAATTCCTCTCACCCACTCGCCGACTTCAAATCCCAAACGCCGACGTGTCTTCTCATCCATCTTCCCTTTAATCTTTCCTTTTCCTTTTCCTTTCCTCCACTTCCTTCCTTCTCTCTCTCTCCACCCCCGCTACCCACTGTACTCGTACTGCCTTTCCTCAAACCTTCTCTATCCCCCGGTAAACTCCCCTCTCTGTCCACCTTCTCCGAAACCAAGACTCTCACAACAATTCCTCTTCCAACCATCCACTCCACCCCTCCAGACCGTTCCATCTCCTCCCTTCCTACCCCCTTCACAAACACCGTAAGATCCGCGCCTACAATTCCTCTCCAGAGCGTAGCCATCCACTGCCAATGATCAATCGGGGCATAACTATCATTTATCGGTAATTTCAACGAATACGCATCTGACAAGGTAAGAGAATATCCATGCGGTATAAGAGCTATCGGTGTTCTTTTATGCGGAGTAGACGACTGCGATGCTTCTGACGATTGAGGAGTCGAAGAAGCAGTAGAGGTATCCCTACGAGGAGAAGAAGGAGGAACCGTCGTAATGAACTTCGTAATCTGTAATGAATTCCGATGCCATTGACAAATCGTCGAAAGATATTCGACGAAAGGATCAGAAGCCTCTTCTTTTTCCTGGAGATCTTTCATATCCATCACCATCTCATGTTTATTCTCCTCTTTTCCCTTGATTCTCTCCTTTCCTTTCTCTCTTGTCACTCGCACACCCGAGATGTCCCGCATCTCAGTATCCGCATCTTCATCCACGGCTGTATCCCCCGATTCTGGACGAGCATCGGATCCCGTCATCCAAGTCCGAACCATACAATTAGCATCTTTTTCTAGATGTCCACGAATAAAATCTCCCACCTCCCTAATCAATCCCTTTTCCATCCCCTCTACAGCAATCACCGCGCCTCTAATCTCCTGCGCGGGACTCGTTGGGCCTGGCGCCGCTAATGGCGGTGAAATCTTCGAAAGGATATTTAACTTATTCCAGAAGGGAATTGTCATGACCATGGCCTCAACACTTCGAGCTTGGGACTCTCTACTTTCGCTCCGGAGGTCGCGGTCGGTAGGACGATGAGCGGATGTAGTGGCGGTGGTGGGAAGTTGGGTTTGGAGAGGAGGCAAACGGAGAGATTCGTCGAATGTCGGGGTCCGATTGCGGTAAGTGGGTGTCATGCTCTGTTGCATATGTGTGCTACGCATTGGAGCCGATTGTGGTGGGCCCATTGCGCCCGATCTTGGACCTGGAAGAGGCTGAGGAGGATTCCGGAAGGGACCCGCTGACATTGGGATTTGTTGGTTGCGGGCGAAACCTTGTTGAGGGGTTGAATATACCATCGGAGATGGTTGTGGATAGACCCTCGGATCGTTGGTGAAACGTCGACGCTTGAAATCTGGGGAGGCAGATTGCATCTCGATATCCTGATCCTGTTCATGATGGGTATGGAGGGGTTGAGGGTATGGGTGTCGCCTAACCATTTGTTGGGGAGGTGGACCTATACGTGGAGAGTCTACTCTACCGCTGCCGGGCATTTGAGCTAGATAGCGGGGTCTTTCAAGCTCGCCGAGCTGGGGTTGATACTGAGACTGTTGGGACTTCTGGGCCTGATTATTTGAGCTGAATGGCGGAAGAATTCTATCGTTGCGAGGAACGGCAGCTCCAAAAGCCGGCGTGAAGGGTGTCAACGGTGTACTTGGCGTTGAGATGTAGCGTCCGTTACATCTCGGACACCGAATGGGATCGTCCGATGTTGAAGTTAGTGGACGATTACCGACCGTCTTCCCTGCTCTGCGCGGCTGGTAACGATAATTAGGATATTGTCTTTGATGACGTTGCTTTTCTTCCTAGATACCACAGAATTAGCATGGCCTATGATCACGGGCGACTACTATGTTATTTACTTCAGCGAGTCTTTTCCATTCCTCTTTTACATTGGGTGCCTGCTCGCGCCACTGTTCTCCAATAATCTTTGATATTTCGGGATTTGCAAGACCGGGATGCTGGGCGACGACTTGTGCCTGATAATGTTGACGGTAAAGGATAAATGCTACAAAGGGAAATTGTTAGCTTCTCGATTCTGTAGCGGTGACAAAGAATCCCATCTCAATAAACAAAGGCTAGGGTAAACATAGGGTCTCTCGCAGCCATTCTCAATAACCAATCATACGAATATTGTCAATCATCATTGTCAAAGAAAAGTTTTAGGTCACGCACCGTTTCGAGGTCGTGGTATCTTTGGGTCTGGTTGACAAGACACACTTGTTCCGTGACTGGCGTATCAGAAATAGGAGAAGGGCCCCCAATGCTATTGCTTGTGCTCACACTATTCAATGCAAGATCTCCGATTCGTGGTTGGCTCGCACTCGCACTTTCAGTATCGAGTGATGCTGCTCGTTTTCTTGACAAACGGTCGGAAGGTGGAGGTGAAACGGGAGTCGGAGGCTCTGAGTGTTTCTCTGGGAGAATTGGTCTCAACGAATTCCTCCTACTAGAATCTGTTGAGATACTAACGGGAGATCGAGGAGCATCTCTATCAACATTGCCGTTGGTTCTGCGTACTTCTGCCACAATTGACATGATTTTTGATTTCAGACGAGACGAGGAAAAGCTCAAGTTTTTTGAAGTAGATATCAAGTGGGAACTTCAGAGTATAATAGATAGAAAGGAAAATAAAGAGGGAAGAATAGAAGGGTAGAATGGCCTTCTTGATGGTGACGAAATGCTTTGTATGCATTGCGACTGGATAAAGAAAAGGACAATTCTATCATAACTCAATTCATCCATAATCAACTTCTAGTTGTGACATTCTGTCCATTCTAGGCATTCTAGGCATTATGGCAAAGTGTTGGTGTCTTTGTTGTCTCGGGAAGACTGCACAGCTGCAGTTTCGCATGCGTTTTCCTTTGTCTTTAGTGAGCTCCGTTACCAATGTTCACTCCCAGTAAATCCCAAGAAATAGAAAATCAAAATTAAGAAAATGCTTGGTAACGGGTAGAATAATTTCATGCTTACTAAATGAGACCTAATTGGAATGCTTTTTTTTTTACCAATTTTGGAGAGGTGTGAGGAATGTAATCCCAATTAGATTTTTTGGGGGAGATACTACATAATACCCGCAAACAGAACCATGAAACCTTGGACACCCCCTTTAGACGCCAAAAGCAAGCGACGAGCTCTAGATAAACCCCTGTTCTCAGGTTACACTGATAGTCACACCAGTGAACTACTCCCGCAAATGCACTAATGATGTGACCACGCCAATCAACTTCTCACACCAGTCGATGAACTGCATCAGCCGCAGCGGATGTTGTTTATGAAATGAACCCATTACCAGCTTCACCGTTCATAATAGCTGCACTCCTCCGTGCATCAATGAATAAATCTTCGCACTCCCCTACATCCTGGACATCAATTTGATTGCGTCCGCTTACTCGCGCTAAAATACTAGATGGTGTTAGAAGCTGCAATGCCTATCTCAAACTAATTCTTGAACCATGTTCTGTGAGTTTGTCTAATGCAGCTTCAGTTATGGCTAAACCTTCAACTGTAACTCGAATACGAAGATTCTCTTGATTTTCATCCGCCTCGTACGCATTTGTAGGAATGATTAAAAGACGAGCCAAAAGATCAGAAGGAATTCCATGTGTCTGTAGATCAAATCTTCACTGCCGCGAATGGTACACCATGCCACGGTTGGAAGCGAGAATTACGATTGGAGGAAATCGTTTGATTCGAGAGCACGATTCAGATATGTGAATCATTCGAGATCGAGCATGTGAACCTATAATTTGTTAATGATCAAGAACCGGAAGGCGTATTGAAGGCCTTTGACACATTACCTCATCAATAAAAAGCACACCTGGAACAAGCTCTGCCACTCCTTGATCAATGTATTTGTTGACCACCTTATTAATTTCCGCTCTTAATTTCTCCGTAATTTCTGTCATCTTTGGTTTCAGCAACTGGCCCATCATACTCATTATGTCTTGTCCACCTTGAGGTCTGGAGTTCGCGATATCGAGATCATGTTAAAGTAACGTCCTGTACTATCTCCTTCTTCTTGTTAACTTCTCCCTTTGGTATTGGCACATACTCCTCCGCTTCCAGGTCGAATTCGGTCGCATACGCATCCGATCTGCCAACACGTTTACAGGCTCCAGTATTGGCTTCGATATAAATAACATCTCCAACTGTAACCTTTTCTTTCTGTATAGCTTCGTAGATGCTTGGATCCAATCTTAACTTCTTTTGGCCCTTGGCGCTCTTCAATCCAATCAACAATGTGCTGATAGTCTTTCCATAGCTTCCCAATGGATTTTCAGCTTCCTCTGGTGTTAATTCTGTAACCTCGCCCTCGTAAACCTCCTTCGTTTCGCGAACTTTCAGACCAATGGCTCGTCGAAAGTTTTCCATGAGCGCCTCTGTTTTCTTGACTTCCGTCGAGTATACTTCGCTTGCGACGATGGGGCAGAATGGTACTTTTGTTCCAAGCTCTTGACTGATAGCTAGAGCGAGAGCTGTCTTTCCTGTTCCAGGTCCTCCTGCAAGTAAAATAGCTCGGCCAGCCATTTTTTTGGAACGAATTAAGTCGACAACCACACCACAAGGCCTAAACCAGGATATATTAGTTAAAGTTCTATCATTCATCATGCATACCAACCCACCTCTCGAGCTGAAGTTTGGCCAACAAATCCACCGGCTTGCTTCTCAGCAGAGCCATCATTTCGAAGTCCAAGACCTTTGATATGTGTATGCGTAGAAGTTCGATTGTCGCGGGAATTTCCCTTAACATCGCTGAGGTTTACCATATTCGCGATTTAAATGCAGTCAGATATAGGTAGTAGTTATTGGTATCAAATACGTGAAATATTGATCAAATATAAATATTCACTTCTTCTCCAATATTACAAGCGGACCAAAATCGATGGTGATTGGCACAAAATCAATTATTCTTAAGCTTGAAGATGAATTTCTGAGAATAATTTCGCGGAAGGCTGGCTGCACATGTAAACGCGACTGGAATTACTAGGTAAGCGGTGGGTCCGAATCGATCAAAATCACGTGAAGATACGTAAGGCTGATGGATATTCCTGATTGATTGATCAACCATCTGCAGCCTCTCCTAGAGTTTGAAGTCTGCAGGTGTTTGGTGAACTCCGGTTATTTGCAGGATTATATGAGGCTATCCGTTAGTCTCGCATTTGATTGATGGATTTAGTAATCGGTCAAGCGTTCAGTATACAGTATGATAATTAGATCTCGACGAATGAAAAATGCATGATGGACAATATGACTGATTCGCAGTCCTTGATATATTGTTTTCCACGAAGTTAATTACTCCAAACAGGCCATTTTTCCATTCCTCCCTAATTCTAATGCCTATACTCTCCCTTCTTTTTGAAAACTCCTCAGCCATATGCGTCAAGGAATAAAAGTTGCAGCTTAATTTTTATCCCACCCTAAGCTTATGCGGACGCCCTAAAGTAGAATAGAACCTTGTGCCATGCAAACGATGACCCCAATGCAAAGAGTGTTTCCTTTCAAACGCCTGCAACACTTCCAAAAAGAGTAAGGTATTCCAAACGCCTTCAAAATCGATGCAGTAGAACAAACGAAATACACAATCAATGACAATCAAGAAACTCTCCATCTTCACTGGATCTATCAGCCGTTCTTGGGCGTTCGACCATCTCGGTAGGAGATTCTACCAGTCTGTTTGAGCCCAATTGACTTAATCTTAACTTCTCGTCGAACATGGAAACCAGTCTGTCGGAATATTGGTCAAGTATTCCTGCTAAAACTGTCTCACTTATCGTTCTAGACTTTTGGCTTCTGTCCCCCAGTGCTACCGAGGTTAGTCGCAACTCCTGGTCTAGCTCCTTTAGACACTCTTCATCTATAGTTTCAGTAGATAAGAGCTTTCTTCGGTACGCTCTGAGTGTTCGACAAGCTTGCTCTGTCGCCATGTTAAGTGATCCGGATTCAGTTATGCCACTGCTTGAACTTTTGCCTCGGCCCCGTAAGTCTACTGACGCCGTCGAAGGACGTCTGACCTCTCTTGTTTGAGGACTGTTTGGACTCCGAGATCTGTTCCTTGGATACGATCTACGTCCTGTATCGTCTGATGCAGATGCGAAATGTTTAGATGGCACAGCTTGCACAGATGGAATTGATAAGGTAGGGTTCTGATTCGTCAAGCCGTATTTCGAGGTCTTACGTTTGATCACCCTAGGTGGCGAAGACGACCCAGGAGGAGTAGCTGTTGGTGACGCTCGTTGAAACTCGGCAAGTTCAGCTTTCGATAATACCCTTCTCAATGGCTGGCGCGAGGTTGGTAGATCTTTTGGTGGTGTCTCATCTTGGGTACCGTCGTTTGACTCAGGCTGATTCTGTGAGTAGGCGGTGGCATTAGAAGCAATATCCCACATCATAATTGTGCCATCCAGCCCTGTGCTTATCAACACTCTACAAGACGAATCAATGTTCTCCAGAAGTGCGACACCTGATACGGAAGTAGTATGCCCCCATTCGCGATCTAGGAAAGATCCAGTACTCCAATCATAGATACGAACAGACTTATCGGTAGTCGAGACACCAGCAAGAATTGTGCTAGGTTTGCAAGAAAGTACACTAGGTGTACCCATCACAAGAGAGTCCAGAGCGACAGCGTCTGCTCCATCATAGTCTGTTGCTCGAAATGAGTTGACAAGGCGTCCAGTAGCTATTTCATATGTAGCTACAGTGCGATCCAATAAAGACACCACAATATTACCTACTTGAGGACCGAGACAGGGCGTCATCGAGACGGGCGCAGCTTTCAAGGTGATAATACGGACTGGGACAGCAGCTAGCGCGTTTCCTTCTGCTACCTCCTTTTTTACAAGTTGCCGGATGTGGATCGTTCTATCCATTCCACAAGATATGAGTTTCTCGCCATTCTCGGCGAAGAACAAACCGCATACGCCAGCAGTATGTTCGTCTAAAGTTTGTACTAGTTCCCACTTATCTGAGACGAGACGGAACAATTGAATGGTCCGATCTCGACTACATGAAGCTATCATGGTTGATGTATCATCCTCATAAATGGTGATATCTTGGATCTCGGTACAATGAGCACGTGTCTCAAAAGTGCATGCACCCGTGGATGGATCTAATATTTTCAAAACTCCGTACTTATCTCCAGAAACCAGGAACAAGGCGTCCTTTGATATTCTCACGACCTGACATGAGTTGGCTGCTTCTTCATCTATCGACACTTGATCTATGCCGATTGTAATCGATCCTTTGCTGTTGCCATGCAAGTCCCAAAAGGCAAGACTACCATTGACCGACCAGGTAAGGAATGCTGCTCCCATCTGATTGATTTCGGGTAAGAGTTGCACACCCATTACTGCGTCGCCATGAGCGGGTTGAAGTGTGTTTTGGAACCCATGATCAGCGTCCTCGTCGTCTTTCCCCCAAATCTCAATCGTATGTCTAGAATCAATCGTAACGAAATTACCTCCAGCATAGCCCATAGCACACAGATGGCCAGGATCGACCTCGTCATTAGATTCATCTGACGGGAGGGGTGATAATGGAGGAGTAGATGGAGCTAAAAGTGTGTCCAAGGATACCGTTTTGACTTTACCATTACGACCTCCTATCCTTACCTGCCGAGTCTCCATTTCAATAGCTATACATGTGACTGGAAATCCAGTGGTCAAAACTTTGATCAGTTTTTGGCCTTCTGTGCTGTCTAGGAGGCAAACGTCTCCCTTTTCCGAGCAAACAATGGCCCTGTGATCAGACAAAGAAGCCACGCATGTGAAAGTCGCATCTACTAATGGTCCGAGTAAACAGTTTCGACCAGTGAGAGTTTTGAGCGCTTGTTGTACTGGCAGTGGTAATGGTGTACCGTCAAGTGCAAATTTTTGTTTTGGTGAGGGACATCGGCCATCTTCGACTCTCCATACCTTTATATGGCGAGTTCCCACAGTAACTACGTTCCCTCCCAGCCACAACATTTGCTTGATGAAACTAGTACATTTGTTGCTTGAATGTAGCTTTGCTGTTCCATTCTTTGGATTTATGGACCAAACGTGAAGAAATCCATCGTTAACATTACCTAAGCTGGCAAGATATTTGCCATCAGGACTGAATGATATGGCGGCGACACCATATGTATGCTCGGTAAGAATGGCGAGCGGTGTATCTGAAGAGCTGTCTTGCAAAGAAAATATTAAAACTCTCGGGGCGTATCCTGTCTATATCCTTATTAGTCAATACACAAATATCCGTACAAACCTGCTTACCTCGCCCACAGCCAAAAATCGACCATCAGAACTCATCGACACACATGTAGCCGCTTTGATCCTTTCCCTGCTTGACCATGTCTTTGATGAAGAGTCACCTGATTCCAAACTCGTATGTGCTGTGGATGGTGCATATGGAATTGCAGCATCTCGAAACCCTTTTCCGTTTCTGCCATCATTGGCGTTGTTGGCAGGTGTTAAAGGTCCACCTAGCGCTACATTACTTGTGTTGGCGGCGACTGCTGTTGGAGAAGCCCGGAAAAAACGTTGGGAGTGTTTCCCCTCATCATCAATATCAACAACCACTACCGCGGCCCCAGCTGTGTACGCAAATATCCGAGACGTCGAAAGACAGTCGAAACATGGTGGAGAAGAAACTGTAGTTCCAATTATTTTCTTCAACGATAATCCTAACTCGTAGGGATTCCTGTTTTTATTCGAGGGTCGCGGGGTTCGTGGAAATGGAGAAGGACTAGCTTTTAAACCAGGTTTTGTGTTCGCAGCGAAGGTCCTTGAATTGATGGGTGTCGAAGCCATTATCGACTATTCATGAAACCAAACACCGGGATGATAGAAATGCAGTGGTCGAAGCTCTCTTCTTCTCCAGCTTCGTCCAGTGTTTGTGGATGATGATTTGGTGCTTCAACCTTTCTAAAGATTTAGGAAATGAATTGAGTTTTGTGCGCCTCGAAAGAAAATTGGGGTATCATGAAGAAGAGAAAATCAAAAACTGCCTAGGGATTATGACGTTGATTAGCTCGTTGAATTTTCATATCGTGATTTTCTTTACACACCGATTAGATCAGATCAGATCAGATCCGGAAAAAGAGCGAGAGCGAGAGTGAGAGTGGGAGGGGAAGGGGAAGGGAGGGGAAGAAAGAAGGAACTTTAAAAAGAAGTCCTCAAAACATTGATCAGCTTTGTTACGGTGATTTTAGTACGACGACGACGAGGACGAGCAGTAAGGAAACCCAAGATTCAAGATCCGAAGCTAGAATATGAATGTGAATATCAGAAACACAAAGTGGCAGCCCAAACCACCTGTTTTCCCTATCTTTTCTTCTTTTGCCCTATCCTATCGTGACATGCACAGAATAATTTACTGGGGAATCTTAATATACGGTTGTCTACGGTGTCTACGGTCTTGATGCACTGGAATTTGACCCAAAGCAGCAAGTCGAGGTCTGTGTTTGACCCTTTGCCCTTGTTTACAGGGTCGTGTTAATCAGGGAAGGCTCGGGAATGGATCGACTTGAGGAACTCCACCACCAATTGGCATCTTTCCAGAATGTTGCCCGCATGTTATTGGTCCATTTTAGGTTTGTTTGCCAACAAATTGACTGAACCATATCTTAATGGTCATTGATAGTTTGATAGCTATCAAACCATCAAACTATCAATGTAGCTAGATGGCTAGACGCCCTCCAGCTGTTCGTTCTTGAGTCGGTCTCTACATCCAAAGATCAACCAGCAGTGTCACGTATGTGTTCGAGTATAGTTCATTGATGTCCGTC